AAATAACCCTGATGTGCTTTGCCGTAATCAAATAAACCAAACCAAATCATGATGTCTAACCTTTCATTAAGAAAGCAAATACCAAAAAAAAAATTCTGAATTTACTACATCATTGTTTAATATGGATTCTTGTTTTAGTTTAAAAAAAAGAAAAGAAAAAAAAATAGTAAACAGAATGCAGCTGAAATGTATTGATTCATTGTGAGAATCTAGGACATACTACTGATTTCCAATAAATGTTTACCTCTGATCACGTGGTTGATTTCATTTATTCTTATACAGATGATAATGATTACTTAGATATTGACATATCTATCCATATGGTGACAGAATGAAAAAATAACGGCAAACTTGCTCTATCTTTTTTCTTGCTTTTATAACTTTTTTTATCTAAATTAAAATTTTTAATTAAAGTTCTATTTTTATCATTGCAAGAATTTAAAGTAGAAGTACTTTGATCACCAAATCTGAAGGGGAAAAAAATGTACCTAATTTTTATGCATTAAACAGCTCTAAATTTCTTCCCCTTCAAACGAAAAGACCTTAAAAAAAGGATTTAAAAGTTCTTTCAACTCAGTACCTAATTTAACTTGGAGTAGTAAGTAAATTACTTAATTAAAGGAATTTAGAATTGTTTACAGATTCATATGGAGTTTCTACGTATCTAAATATAGGTCTGATGGACGCAAAGGAATTGCGTTTAAAATTCTAATAATAAACGCAGAAGTTTTTTTTTCCCTTGTAAAGTTAAAACAAACCATGTTCCTCTAAAAATAGTTTTAAATAGACTTTATAGAAAGAATAGAAGAATTTAGAGCGTAAATATTTTTTTACGATTTCATTGGATTAAAAATATTAGCTTGTTAACAAGCAAGTTTTTTTTTTTTTTTTTTTTTTTTTTTTTTTTTTTTTTGCCAGGCGTGAAATGGGCTAGAAATGAATATATTTTTGTTTGGGAGAAAAATCTTAATTTCTGTGTTTGTAAAATTACAAGATTTTATATTTCTAATCTACTTTTATATGACTTCTCTTATCCTAGAAAGCGTACTTTGTATCAGAGCTTTCAGTTATGGAGTCTAAGAGCATTTTGCACAATATTCATGAAAACTCAACATACTTTCGAAATGGTATGTTTTCCGATAATGAAGAAGGATGTGTAAAATTTAGTACTTACGTGTGAACGTACGTACGTATGTGTGTATCTCGCATAATTCAAAAACGAATAGCTTCAGAACATTGAAATTTTGTATGTGGGACTTCTATAACATGTAGATGTGCACCACCCTTTTTGGTTGCAATCGGTCGCCCCAGAAGAAATATATGTATATACGTATGTATCCAATCTGTTACTCGGCTCAGCGAGCTCAGTTTCTTTATTCTTATATATTTGTAAATTGTGCATTTTTTGCTTTAGAAAGGATTGAAGTATGTTGTACTTATCTTCCAGTTAATGTTTTTATGCCTTTAGTTAACATGTATGTTATAGCTGTACAATTATGAACAATTTAAAAGTTGTTTAAGTGCGGCTAAGCCTAAATATTTCTACCATAGCAGCCATATATGTTTACATTTAAAACTTAATAATGGATTTGTTGCCAATCTCGAGATTTTAAGCTTCGCAACAACAAAGTAACGTCTTCTTTTATTATTCCGATTTAAAATATGCTTAATCCATTCTGGAATTATCATTTAAGTCATTGCATTATCCCATTTATTGACTCAGCATAGCGTCCAAAACAAATTTAATCAGTTCCTACGCCTTCAGTGTCTTTTTGCTGAGTAATAGCAAAAGCAGACTTTCAGTTTTGTGCACCGAAAAATCTGTATTGTTTCCCGCTGGCCGAATTGCTTGTTTTTGCGTAAAAACTGTAATTGGATAACTCTTTTTTTTTTTTTTTTTTTTTTAAATTTTTAACTGTATGACAACGTTGTACAGAAAAATAATTTTTATCTCCAGCGCGTGAGACTCTATGTATCCGAAATTCTAAAGTCTTGAACTGAATTTTATGGTTTAAGTGCGAAGAACATGATAAAAAGGAAAAAAAATCTGAAAGTTTCAGATTTTAAATTACGTCCAAAGGGGCGTTTTTTAACTTTTTGTGTGTACCTTTATTTATTAAATATCATGTTCTTTGCACTTAAGCCATAAAATTTAGTTCAACAGCAATGTCGGAAAATAATTTAAAATGAGTATATCTTTAGAATTTCCGATACACAGTTCCGTGGGCTAAAGATAAAAAGGATTTTTTCCCGCGTAGCTCCATTGCTCGCTTTTAAATCGTAGCTGCCATTGCTCGCTTTTAAATCGTTGAGTTTGTTAATAAAAAAATTCGTTAAAGTTTTGAAAAATATGAAATAGATAATTAAACAAAGTCCAAATTTTAAATTTGGGCTTTCAGATGCCCATATTCGCAGTAGGGTTACGTCATTCAAAATTGGGTGGCTCTATGTTTTCCACAAATCGAGAAACATACGTACATTTATGCAGATTCTTCATTATTTAATTTCTTCAAATATAATACAGGGCGATAGCATTTGGTGTCAACGATTTGAAAAGATATACAGCTTTTTAAAGTTTTCAACGCAAAATCGCAAAACGGAAACAATAGTCCTTCAGGGACAAAGCCTCTTTGGACTAACAAAGGTAACACACAAAATGTTAAAAAAACGCCTCTTTGGCAGTAATTTAAAATCTGAAACAATTCAGATTTTTATTTCTTTTTATTTTTTCCTTGCCGCTAAGTGAGAACTGAATTAATTGAATGAGAAATATATCTCTAATGAAATTTGAGGAAATAACTGTTTCATATTAACAGAAATTACTGTCGCCAGTCTGTTTCGGAGACAGAAGAATGTTTATGAGTGGCGCATGCGCATTAGGTAAGCAGCGCTGAATCGTCTGTGAAAAACTGTTTATTGTTTTTTTGTTTAATTTCTTCTATGCATCTTTTTAGATTTATTGTAGTCTTTGAATAGAATACGTTCCAACGATTAGATAATTCTTCAGATAATATAATTTTTGTTCATTCTGAGTTATAAAATGAATGTGTGTGTGTGTGTGTGTGGGATTATGGCAAAGCTTCGAGGGCTATCTGTCTAAGGGGAGGGATGCCTTCGTGGAGGACTTTCTAAGGGAAACTAGCTCGTATACACGTTACACATGGGGAAAACCACGAAAACGCCCATGCAGCCAGCCCGTTCGCGGGATTCGAACCTCGGACCGAACTACCAGTGTTCAACGACTTTACCGCTCGGCCGCTGGTGGGCCTATAAAATGAATGAGATGTAACGCTGTTAAGTGAACCTAACACCAAAGTATCGCTATGGTAAATAAATATAGTGAATTTTAAAGAGTGCATTTATTCTATTGTGATTTATGCGCTATTGACGAAGCAGATTTAATTCAATTCAACAAGTTTAAATAAAATGCAGGAAAATTGAGTATAATTTAATATTCCGTACAAGGAAATCATGTGGCGTACACATCATATTTTTTTATTATTACATATTTTAAATTTTTTCATACTTATGCTAAATAAAATAATACAATAGCATAATCATAAATATTTAAAAACAGCATATCTTTTAAATTCCAGATTGAGTCTTAATTATTGTCAAGTATTTTCGTACTAACCATAATTCTTTAAAAGTGACAGATGGCGTCAGATTTGTTGATAACATCATTTTCTTTGTGCTGCCACATATTTTTTTACATTTGCTATGTCACACCTTTAAAAATAATACATGGCGATTACATTTGGTGGCAACATCGTTTCATTTTGACAAGTGATAGATGTAAAAATGTGATACGGAAAAAATAGTGATGATCGAGAATATAAACATTGATAAAGAAATTACCTTGTTTACAAGTCGAATAATTCGAAAATGCCATTGTGATTTCTAAGTTATACACAGACTTTTAAGATCAGGAAATTACGTCATTCTGCTTTCTCGAGGATATATAATTTGACAGTTTTCTGATGATACCTTCCCAAGCAAATAATCATTTCCCTGAAAATACTCCTGTTTATGCAATGGTCATATGCGATGGAAAGTTCAAAGCTCTCACAGGAATAACGACTCAAATCGCCATTTAAAGTGAACCTGGACTTACCGAGAACAGCGTTTAGGCAAGGTCATATTGGTCTCATTGCTGGTATTACACCTTCCTAATAGAGAAGTTGCATTAAATACGGCGCAGTACATTCCACTTCTCACATAAAAACCATGCTTGTGAAGAATTTGTTAAGCAAGGTAGATCGACTTATTCCAGCATCAATGATCTAAGAAATCTCAAACAAACTATGTAGCGACTGAGAATGGTTTCTTTACGCCGGTTTAGGGATACTATACTTACTTTCGGATGACGTTGATCAACAACGTGATTAACATTTTCGCGATAAATAAAGTTCTTTTGAGATCAGACTTTGAAATGTACAAAATTGTTTTATCCTCCTAGACTACATTTAGGTGCCTCTTCTAGCCTTCAGCTAAACGGTATCTTTCACACATGATTGACATACAGCATTGTCTATTTTAAACGTTACAGTTTTATGTTTAATTAAGATGCGGGTGGATGTTCGAATATGTTTCACTTTATGATTTTTTTATATTTGGCTTCCTTTAGATTCTGTGCGCATATACTTGCACATCAGGTGATTTTTATGTTTCATAACATAAACCTACCACAAATAATTGTAGTAGCTAATGAAATTTTAATTAGCTTTTGTACAGCTAGAAGCAAGTACTTTTACAATTATGATCACTTTTAAAATTTTTCTTTAATCTTAGCACAAATATTTAAGAAATTTCATATTCTTTCATTGTTATTATTTAATCGTCATATGTTGTCATCTTTAACTCTCATATGTAAAATTTCTGTTATTAGTATGCTCATAAAATCTTTAAACTAGTATGCATCATTACAGAAACCATTTATTAATCATTACAGAAACCATTTATTGAAACAAACTTATAAATTTATTTTCTTTGTTCAACAGGTTTTCTCATTTTTATATTTCTGGACAGTTTTATCCTTGCCACCTGTTATAAAAGCTAATGATGATATACCAAGACCCCTCATAATATCTTTGCCAATTAACGTCCAGGCAAGCATGCCGACTCAGCCTTATAATACGGAAGACAACAGTGAAGAAGAAGAACCAGGTGAACAAAGACTAGCTCCTAGAACTTATGATCCATTCACAGATAACGAATATCAACAAGAAGACAACAGCGATTCGAATACTAATTCGAATCAAAGATCGAATTTCCTCACTTGGAACCCAGGCGACAAATTCATGGTCTTGCAAATCAATGATTACATTGGAGCCAAAACACAAGATCCTAATGATTCGGAGGAATCTGAAAAAACGGAGGACGTTAAGGTAAGAAAAAGAAATCGTGGTCCTCCCATTGAGGATGCTTTCGATTTCGAAGACTACAGAAGACTACCTTCTCAGTCCAGACGTAGAATAGAGTCATCTAAAAAAGCTAGAACGTCTAACAAGAGGCCAAAACGCCCCATGAGAGAGAGGGAAGAGAGAAATTATAGCGAGGAAGATACTGAAAGCGATGTGTATGGCACAGATCCTGTAGTTCATTACATGAGAGATAAAAAGAGAAAGAATAGAAGAACTTTCGATTTTGGTCCAGTACAAGAGGATGATAGTGATGACTTTATTATGAGGAAGTGGTGGAACTATTAAATACTGTAACATAAAATAACATACGCTAGGAATAGTTTCAAATAGGAGACAACTAAATAAGAATTAAACAACATTTAATTATCTCATAAGCTGCAAAAAACTGAAAATGAAGCTTTTCTGCCTCGTGTTTAATGTTTGGATAACGAGGTCGCGCTTTTGTTATTTTAGCGTAATAAAGTAAGTTCAGTAAATATCTTGACTTACAAAATTTATAATTTAATAAAGCATATTTACTTATATTTATATAAATCGGTAAAAAATAAATGAAATAAAAATAAAGGATAACATATTAAAAAAGCGAATAAAAACCGTTCCTTTTCTACAAAGTTGTAGTAAGAAATAGCAAGATACCCATCGAAACGAAGATCTTTCTTATGTACTGCTCTTCTGAAAAAGTGTAAGTTGTTATTCTGTCTCTGTAAATATGTCTTAAGTGATGATATTATTATGTGTCATATACTGATGTTGTCTGTGACAGAACATCATAAAGAAATTTGTGTCCTTGTGTCAATAAATGTATTTTCAATACACCTCCATTTGAATGATTCCACTTAAGAAATTTAAGTAACAGTTAATTAAACAAATTTATGCACAAAGGTAACCTTCAGCTCGTAGTATGACTACATATTTACAAAAAAGGGTACAAATTTTATATAATTGTAATACATATATAATTTAAATATTTTAAGTGTATAAATAATATATCGTCAAGGTGCTAATACCTAACTCTACTTATAAAACGAAAATTAAAATTATGAATCAATATTTAAAGAACTAGTTGAGGTATCAGTAAACCAAATGCATTGTAATGTAGTTCCCAGAAGTATATTATAATGCATTTGGACACAGATGTGTTTTTACAAACACTATGTGCAGAAATATAATTCAGAGAGTTTGACAATATTCTTACTTTTATGGCAACCATTGTGAAGCATTCTCTAAAACAGAGATAAAAGCAAAAATCTTTTTTACAAAGCTGTTCAATTCGGGGTCGAAGGGTGGGACATTTATGTGCTTGATTGTGAAATTCCGTTTTCATTAAACTTAAAGAAATTTAAAATTCAAACGAAAAATAGGTTTGGTATAAAAATTTGGTCCTTACATATTTAATTTTAATCATAAAGTAAAACTGATTGATATTTTACAGCCATTTTCATTTGAATGACAGATAAAAACAGACTTGATTTATTACTGCTGTTATAAATATTTTGTCACAACTGGAATCTGACAACTATTCTTTCTTCATAGACATTTATAAGATTATCGAAACGAATACTTTAGGGCTATTACTGTTCTTTTCTATAAAATTCGAAAAGACTACTTGGAGTCTTTGAACTCTGCTTCTGATTGAGCTCAGCCCTGAAGACTGACTTAGATGATATAAACGAGCTGATGCTAAGAAGATTTTAGGAATTAAAGTAAAGAGACGTATAACTGTAGCTTAAACTTCAACTAAAACTTACGTTTACTATCAGACTGAAGAATTTACCTTCTGCCCTTAAAACAAAACTCTTCGCGATTACTTTTCCCTGCGTTTCTGTATGAACCTGACTGAAGTTTGCACTTTAAGAATATTTACTAACTTATAATTTTGAGAGGTAATTTCAGTTAACTCCAAGTTATCTCTACAAATTGAAAGGCCTTTGGAGTATTAGCAGTTTATACATTCATTTGTTTTGCAGCCTATAATAAGGAACATGTAGTTTTTGACCCTACCTATATTTCATCTGCAATCAGCAAGTAATATAAAAAAGTAAAATTTAGTTTTTATGCATTCATTTGTTTTATGATTATCTCTCCTCATATCGCATCAGTTTTTCTTGGAAAATCCTTCAGAAAAGCGTTTCATCCCTTAGGCAAATAGCACTCATGTACTTTGTGGTATTTGATTAAGTGTGATCATCACAGATATTATGCGATAACTCATGATAAATTTCTATTCACTCAATATAATTTCACAGATAGCCTCACTTAGGCCTACACAAAGGCAACAGTTTTAGCTTAACTCAGAAAAGGTAACCAGGAACTTAAAGTGTAATAAGTTTGGCCTAACAGCTCACAAAATAATTCAACTCCCTGGAAGACTCATAGAAGTCGGCATAAACTAATCCAATGCCTAGAAGCACTCAACGCCATAGAAATCTAATCGGCAGCAATTCACGATAGCAACGTGGTCTCCAAGCAAGCATTAAATGCTCCAAAATCACCTTCCCAAACCTTCCCTAAAATACCACTTCTTTTTACCTCATTTAAATTTACGCGCGCTAGCTTATTAACATTCTGGCAAGAAAGCGCTGGTAAAAATGAGACTAAAATTAAAATTACTTTAAACTAAAAAGGAACTATTAATTAAATTAAATAAATCTCCATTAGGTCATTCAACATTAGTAGGAGTTTCAAATCAGATAATTTATAATTAATAATGATTAATTAATATTTTTAGATATATTGGCAAAAAAGAAGGATAATCAATATTTTATAAAACACATTATTGCTTCACCTTTTGTAAAAATTAAAATTTTGCTTTAAATATCGCAATTCGTTTTATTTTTAATTCTGCCGGACATCCAGATCAAATTTTAGTGTGTATAGAATTATTTTCTTTGCTTAATATACAGTAAAGTTAATTGAAACTAAATTCAGTATGTATCTTACCTTTACCTATTCTTTGGTCAAAAGCATATTCCATTTACTTTATTTTTAAGTTTAAAGAGAACGCTTTTTTCATTATTTTCTATTTTATATAAACATGCTTCTAAAATCTAAGAAATTGAATTTTCTCTCTGATAAAAGAAGGGGGAGAATACAATTCTGCTTCGAAGTTAATTTTATATTGATTATTTTATGCTTCGCTGTTAAACATATTTATTTTCCTAAATTAGTTGTAGTCCATCTTTTTCTATCAAAACGTAGAGGAGAAAATTGATATCAGAATATCTTAAGTCACTTTGGTCATAAATTTAAGTTAAACAATGTTTTATAGAAATATTTCAGTTTCATTAAATAACACGCTTCAAAATAGAAATCGTAGGTAATTCGCGAGAAAAATATCTTTTATGATTTATAAGTTTGAGCTAACGCTTTGTAATTGTTAGGTATGTTTTTTGAAGTATAATTTCGAAACCAAGATGCACCCCAGGGTGTAAATAGAAACACTAAATTAAATTTAAGGGTTATTAGTGCATTCTTCAAAATTATAATATGGGAATTCCTCATAATTCCACTGCACTAAATAATTATTTTCAGCTTTGTTATTCTCGTAAAAATTAGTTTCACCTTAAATTCGAAAACTGAAAAATTTACAGTTAGATACTTTAAAATTATATCACAATCAAACTACAAAATGATGCTAAATTTTATTGCCAATGCAATAAAATTGTTTCAATAAACAGAGGCAAACTCAGAGAGTTTTGTTGAACATGTCACAAATGATCAATGTGTCTACATTTGTTGGTACTATGAACATCTGTGCGATAAATCGTTTCATCGGATACCGTACCAGTAGCTCATAATCGACAAGAGGTATATCATTGGTAATACCGGTTGAGAAGTTCCTGAAAATTCGCGGTAAGTGCAGTATTAGCGATACAAACGCAGTATTAATCTCAGAAAACGAAAATATTGTTTATAAGCTTCTTTCAAGGAATGCTTATTTTTAAAATCAGTTACATGGGGCTTTCATATTCGAAGGGTCTGACTGTGATTCATAATCAGCGCCGATCCTAGCCCGTGGCCGCACATGTGCAAGTTAAAAATTAGCCACTTTTTTTTACAGAACTCTAATATATTTGATAATCGTTTCACCGCCCTTAAATTTAGCGCCCGCCTGCTGTGCGCCATCTTACCGCCCCCCCTCGCTAGGATCGGCACTGTTCATAATAGTACAATTAGAACACCAAATGTACGTTCCAGCAATTTTGAGGTTTAGTTGTATAATAACTGCAGTAAGTGAAATTATAACAAAGAGGATATTTTCTGTTCTAGATATATGAAACATTTGAACTTTCTGGATGTATACAGAATGCTAACAGAACATCTGTATAGTTTCCTTAAAATTAGTTTGCGATATCTTCAACAGATGGCACCACCTCAGTATATATTGCCTACAGAAATAAGTGGTAGACAGGAATGAACCAAATGATGTTTTTAACTCAGCGAAAACTCTGTTTAATCGCCATTATCTTTAGCGGTAACACCAGTTTAGGCTGAATATTGACTAATATTGTTCGTTGTATTTCAAAATAAACCTCATATGCATCGGCATCTAAAGGCATTACGTGGAATTATCTGCATCGACATCTGACAGACAAAGACAAAGTAGACAGATGTCTTGTTTTGCACCCGCTAAGTCTTTCTGCACCGATGGGCGAAAAATCAAGCATAGGTGCGAAGGAAAGGTATATAGAAAGAGGGGCAATTTCGTATTTGAGGAGAGTAAAAAGGACTTCGTACATCTTGTACGAGTTCAAAAGGCCAAGAAGAAAAGATGGGACAAATAAAATTTAAAATAAATGGCCCAAAATAATAGAGGAAAAAAAAAAAAAAGGGCCTATAGAAAGGAAAGGAAAAGAAGTAGAAAAATATCCTAAAATACGATTGTGTCCATGAGTGTAGTTAAAAGGAGAAGAAACTGTCTTCATTTACAATAAATAATGTCTCACAGGTGTGTTTGTGTAGTGAGTGGTTTGGTAATGGTGAATAGATGTGTTACTGGGGAAAAAAACAAATATTGACGGTGTTAAAATGCTTCGTATCAAGGTATTTAGCATGGAATATAAAGTAATATGTACGCTTGCATCCTGAGATATCAACAAAGGTCATCAAACAAAAGTATAATTAATTTAACCAAAGTAATTATGCTACTTCATTCTCAACATTTTCATACATTTTTCAAAAAGCAGCAGCAGACGAACAACATAGAACCATATACAATTACAAGACCACAAACCGCATACACCCAAAAAAATAAAAAAAAAAATAAAATAATATATATATATATTTATGTGTGTAAATTCTGAGTATATGTATTAAAAAACACAAATTAAACAGTATTTATAATTTAACTATCATAATTTATTACAAGATTAATTATTTTACTATCATAATTATTACTAGTTAAATAATGTTAATATAACACAATGAGGCACACTGTTATTTATATAAGCTCATAGTTCTAAAATTCATTTAAGGCGGTGAAGAATAAACCAAATGAAGAATAATTCCTTACATATGGACATTTAACA